GATAGATAGATAGATAGATAGATAGATAGATAGATAGATAGATAGATCAATCAGGGGTCTTCAAACTTGACAGCTTTAAGACTTGAACACTTCAACTCCCAGAATTCCTTCCCAGTCATGTTAGCTCGGGAATTCTGGAAGTTGAAGCCCACAAGTCTTAAACCTGCCAAGTTTGAAGGCCCTTGTCTAGACCTAGGATGAGATCCCCTGTTTCTCTAAGGCAGTGCTTCTTAACCTTGGCCATTGTAAGACGGGTGGACTTCAACTCCCAGAATTCCCCAGCCATCATGGGCGATGATGTTTAGAACCTATGGTTGATTCCATGAATAGTGGTTAAGCAACATGATTCGGCCCAATGGGTGCATTGTAAGACATTCTCGGTTTCCTTAAGCTCACGTCTTAGTGCCATATCAACGGGCTGGATCACAATGGAAACAAACCACGGTTCATCAATATTCCATCAAGCCAGCCTGTCTTTTCTCCCCCAGTTTCTGATCTGTGACTGAATGTCATCCTTAATTCAGCCTGGATAAGTCTTTTCATTATGCTTCATTATCTCTGCTCTCATTCTCTCCGAATTGCTTTTAAGCATCTGCATAATGGCTTTGGGGAAATTTTAGAACTCTATAAGGAGAATAGAGAGAGCGTTATATAGTGGGGAGTTTTCAAGCTCATCCCAACTGTAAAAGGTAGCCGTCCGAGGCCATCGGTTCAGAGCCAAAGGCTGTTTTATAACCCAGCTTCTCTTTTTAATTTCAGATCATTTTCCTACAAGCATTTTTTTACCCACTCCTCTTCTGAATGTCTGAATAATTCCCAAGCCATCTTGCTAAACAGAGCACAGGGGGAAACCTCGTTTTCTTCCAGCTGTATCCTGAAAGTCTAAAATCCGTGGGAACCCCAGTCTCCTTCTGCCCAAACCTCAGGATCTCTCTGGCCTTCGATGCCTCTTAAACTTGATGTGCTCTGCCTGAGAACTGAGGCCCGAATACCCAGCGATAGTCTGCACAAGACGAAGAGATTTCTCTCTCTTTTTTAATTGTTGCATTAGAAATTGCATTTTTTTTTAAAAAAAAAGTTAAATAGGGGAGGTGAGTGGTAAATCTGTCAGTCCCCTGTTCTGGGTGAGGAGGAACAAGGTGGGTGTTTCAATGCACAGTTGTTTAGAAGGAATAAAAGAATTCTCGGCACCTGTCACTCACCTGCCCACATTGCTTTCCTCACTTATTATGAATTAACCCAATGGGTATTTCTCGTGAGGAGAGATTCAGAATTGCTTGGCCTGAGGGTGGAATTCAAACAAGCATTTTAAGGAGCGGTTCTAACTTTGAGGAGTCCTTTGCTTCCTCTTCAAAAGCGTTAAATTGCTCCTCGTGTGTTTCTAATTCCCGCTTATGGTTTCTCACAGCTTAGAGAGAAGCAAGAAATGAGTTTGTTTTATTTCACTTTTAAAATCTGCACGAGTAAAAAAGAAAAAAAAAGGACTGTCATCCTGAGGTATGCTTGACTGTAGCTTCTCACAGTTGCAATTCTGAAAATAGAGGAAGGCTCCTGGACTGAGCGGCATTTTCCTCTGTTTTTTTCCTGTGGGTTCAGCTCTCAGATCGGGGCTTCCCATAGAAGAGAATCTCAGGAACTCAGGGTTGAACTGTGGAATCCTGGGTGATCCCTGAGCTGGGTGGTTTTCTTGGAGACGTTTCATGACCCAACTAGGTCACATCATCAGTGTTAGAAGAGAGTTGGGTTTATGAGTGGGGAGGGGGAGGAGGAGGAGGAAGGAAGGAAGGACGGACTATGGGGTCCTTGGAGCTCTCTGAGCTTGGATGTTTTCTTGAAGACGTTTCATGACCCAACTGGGGAACATCATCACTGCCATTAACAAACTCTGATGATGTTCCCTAGTTGGGTCAGGAAACGTCTGCAAGCAAGCAACCAAGCTCAGAAAGACCCAAGAGTTGCACAGATCACGGGTTCATGTTGTAACCCCCATATCGGCTGGATAAATCCTTCGTTCTAAGCCACAATACACTTGATTCGTCTTATGTGAACCCGGGCATTACAGCTTCTGCCGGTTGTAGTTTTTGGCTTCGCCTGTTGTCCATCTCAACTTCACCTGCTTGGTCTTGTCTCTCCTTCGTCCTGATCCAGCAGCTCTCGCAGCACAGGCCTTCAGCTGGCCAGCCCATAATGCTCCCGTGTGCCTCCCATCTGGCCTGCCCCCGCAAAGCTCCTCCTCGGCCGTGACTCCCTTGGCCTCGCGCAAGAGGAGCCTTCCTGCTCGACAGAACTAAAAATGTGACCTCTTCAAGGAGCACCATGGAGTCCTTCGGGGTGGTTGCGGAGTACGACGCGCCTCCCAGTCCCACCCCAGGTCAGCTGGAGGGGCTGGGGGATGAGGAACCCATGGAGCCAGGAGAGGAGCAGAGCCTTCTCACCCCTGGAGACCTCGGAGAACCAGGCCCGGCTGACCCTTCAAGGACTTTCTCCAGGGACACCAGGGAACCTTGGATCAAAGTCAACCTTTCAAGTCGCAAGCTGTCCTTGCAGGAAAGGTCCCCCTCCGTCCAGTCCCCCAGCGGGAACATGGGGGTCAATGGCCGCTACATTTATCCTTCCCTTCCTTACTCCCCTGTCACCTCCCCACACTCCTCCCCGCGTCTGCCCCGGAGGCCCACCATCGAGTCCCACAGAGTGTCCATCACGGGGTTGCAGGTAAGAGAAGGAAACGGGAGCAGAGTTTGTTGCCGTGGTGGGATTCAAAAATGTTTACTACCGGTTCTGTGGGCGTGGCTTGGTGGCCGTGGTGTGGCGTGGTGTGGCTTGGTGGGCGTGGCGGGCGTGGTGTGGCTTGGTGGGCATGGCGTGGTGGGTGTGGTGTGGGCGTGCCTTGGTGGGCGTGGCAGGGGAAGGATATACTGCAAAGTCCCCCTTCCCTCCCCACCGCACTAACCTGCTTTCCAGCTCCGTTCTCCCGTGCAGGGCAACCAAAGGAGACCCACCTGATTAGCTAGGACTCGATGGGAGGCAGAGAATAGATGGGGTTGGCGGGGCCAGTCAGAGGTGGGATTGGCCGTTTCTTCAAACTACACAAAATTTCTGTTGCTGGTTCTCCAGAATCGGTCAGAACTGGCTGAATCCCACCTTTGGTTTGTTGACTCTGCTCATCGTTTTGAAAAGGAGAAGGAAAAGTGGTGGGGAATGAAAAAGAGGAAGGAGAAAGGAGAACAAAAGGGTGCAGAAATACAACATGGATGACAGAATTACGGAGAATTGTATGGCTATTTTTTTCCCAGTATATTGTTAAGAAATGGAACTGTTAAAAAAAAAAGTACGTTGAATTATTTTAACAATATGAGAAAAGATTTGAGGAAAAAAGAAAAGAAAAACCAATAATAATTGGAACTATTAGTACCGTTTTATAACCTTTTTGTCCTTTACAGCTCACTTTTTCTAAGATGGGCAGCTATATGGATGGATAGGTAGATAAGTAGATTGGTAGGTAGGTAGGCAGGCAGATAGAGCTAGATGATGGATGGATGGATGGATGGATGGATGGATGGATAGATAGATAGATAGATAGATAGATAGATAATAAATAAAAGAGATAGACGATAGATAGATAGATAGATAGATAGATAGATAGATAGAAGATAGGATGATGGGTGGATTAAATGGAAGGAAGGAAAGAAGGAAGGGAAAGGAAAGGAAAGGAAAGGAAAGGAAAGGAAAGGAAAGAAAGAAAGAAAGAAAGAAAGAAAGAAAGAAAGAAAGAAAGAAAAAGAAAGAAAGAAAGAAAGAAAAGAAAAGGAAGTTGGTCCACACCTCTTAAAGCTGCCGAGGTTGGGAAACGTTGATTCCGAGACCTTGCAGGCAATGTATCTTCTGCCATTAAGGCTCCAGGTAGTGGTGAGTGGAGCCGCACCTTTGATCGTTGGCAGAATGAGTGCCTGAGGCTTTCTGGAGCACTTCCCTTCCAATTAAGCCCACTGCATTTTAAGCAAAGACCGGACGATCGAACGGTGCATTAGCTCCTCTACGTCAAAGCAGAAGAGTAGCGTCCAATGCATTTCTGGACTTGGGGCTATTTTTTTTTTCTTCTTCTCCCAGGATCCTTAAAACTGCAGAGTTGTTCCCAAAGGCTGAAGGGTCTGGGGGCTTGGAAACCCCTATTTCTCTTTCTGCCATTTTTTTTTGTTCTTGGTTCTTCCCAGCTATCAAAGGAGGAAACATATTGAGCAAATATATTCATTTTATGTTTATTTATTTACTGAGAACATTGACATAGTTGTCCATCTGTCGCAAATGACAGTTCTAAGATGTCCATCTGTCACAAATGACGATTCTAAGATGTCCAGATGTCCATCTGTCACAAATGACGGTTCTAAGATGTCCATCTGTCCATCTGTCCCAAATGACAGTTCTGAGATGTCCATCTTAGACATTAGACCACAACAGAGCCCGAAATTTACCTTGCTAAATTAGACATTTGTTCAGTGAGGTTTGGTCCTATTTGCGGCTTTTCTTCACCACAAGGGTTAAGGGGATCCCTGCAGCCGTTAAATTAACCACGCCGTTGCTAAGGCGAATCCAGTTTCTCCAACTCAGCAAACGCCTCGCTTAGCAACAGAAGCCTTGGGCTCCCTTGTGGTCGTAATTCGAGGGCGACCTGCAAGTCTAAACAAATATCAATATAAAAAATATAAATAATCAGGTTATAAGTGCACAAGTTAAAACATAGGCAGCTGAATGTCTTCCAAGTTGTTTTGAAGTCAAGGTTGGGAATAACAGTAGCCGGAGTCCTGGGCAATTCATCCCTGGCAGATGCTCCTCTGTTTATATGTGTGTGTGTGTGTGTACTCACACCCACACACCACATGTTGGTGGCTTCTATGGAAACAAGTAGCAGTAACTTAACTGTGCGAATGGAGGAGGTTTTATGATACCCAAGGGGGAGGAAGAGGAAGAATTATGGCTTAATGGCAGGTTGTTTTGCTATCGATGTTGGTCGTTCATTCTGCCCCTGTTTTTCATCTTTCTCAGGATTGTGTGCAGCTCAATCAATACACTCTGAAGGATGAAATTGGAAAGGTAATCGCGCACACACACACACATACACAAACACGTCCTTGCATAGCTGTTGCGTATTTGGGGTGGACACCGTCTGACCTTCTGCCTCTGTAAATAAACATACCAATAAAAAGAACTTGTCAATCATTCCAGCAACATTTAGGGAAACTCTTGTTTCCCTCCTGTTTTCTTCACCTACCGTTTGTGTGTGTGTGTGTGTGTGTGTGGTTTTGTTTTTTTTCCACAGGGCTCCTACGGTGTTGTGAAGCTGGCGTACAATGAAGATGACAACACTTACTATGTGAGTAAGCACTCATTAGCTGTCACGGATTGAGTCGGTTCAACCTAAGAAAAAAGAAGGAAGTTTTTGAACTAAAGGAAGGGGAGGGTGGAGTTAGGCGATGAGTTTCGGTAAGGGAGAATCCGCAATTTTTGCACAGCACTGGAATTTAATTTTATTTAATCCTGTGTGTCGGTTTTATTCCTAGAATAATTTGCAGTGCAGATCTAGAATACCCTAGAAAGAACAAGCAGTGTAGAACTCAAATTGAAAACCGTTTTGGAGCAACCAGCAATTAATTTTTGGGTTGCGTTGCAAAGTTGTTTTGTTCCCCAGCAACTCAACACAATCTCCTTGCCTCCTGCAGGCAATGAAAGTGCTTTCGAAGAAGAAGCTGATGAGACAAGCAGGCTTCCCACGTAAGTTGGGATGTGCAGATGGCGGTAAGGGGGTGAGGTAAGGGGGTGAGGGGAAGAAAGCAATTTGTTGGGATTGTCCCTGCTTTACCATACTCAATCCAAGCTTGTAAATGGCATGTGGGAATGGCCTTGGGAGGACACGTAGATAAGAGACAGCCTAGCCCTCAGCTACATAATGGTTGGAGAAAAGCTCAGAAGAGACTCTAGTTTCTCAGGCTGTAAAGGAGACGGGGGATGGGAGAATGGCACTTTCAGACTTGCACATTTCTGCTACTGTAAAGTAGAATTTGCTCCCCTGGTGGCCTTTCCTGCCTGGTCTACCTTCTAAGGCTGACCAAACCTGTCATGCCCCTGTTGGAATCTGACTCCGAGGGAGAGGAAGAACAGCCGACAGGGAATGGAAGTGTGGCTCTGGAGGTTGTGGAGGAAACTGAGGAAGGGCACAAGTCAGAGGAAGACCCAGGCCCATCCGCTCTTCAATCCTAGGGCATGCAGGGAGGAGAGGATAAGGGAGAAACGTGAATGGCGTGGTCTACGGGGAAGGAAGAGGCCCTGATCCCCTTCATGGGCTGCAGCTGTGAGGACTGTTTAAAAGGACAAACTGCGTATGGCCCAGTGGTGGAAGCAAAATGTGTTTTATTCTTGTCGGAGCTTATCTGTGTTTTGGCTTCCTCCCAACTGGGGCAGCTGCGTTGTCTGGTAGAAGTCTGCAATTAATCATCTACGTGCCTACTGTACTAATTCCTTCAGTGTGTTTTATGTTTAGTTTTTTATTTCGAATTTACTTTGGGTGCGGACTGCATTTACTCCCTCCGTAAACTGTTTTCTTTAAGAGTTTGATTTCCAGCTGAGGATAATTGGACATTGGGGCCAAGTTGGTTTTCCCCATCGGCACTGATCCCAGGTAGGGATGCCCCCCCCTTCTCATCACCTCCGTATCTTCTCCCTTAGGCCGGCCTCCTCCCCGGGGTGCAAAACTGCCCCTGGAAGGCTTCTGCCAACCCAGAGGACCCATTGAGCAGGTCTACCAAGAGATCGCCATCTTGAAGAAGCTGGACCACCCAAACATTGTCAAGCTGGTGGAGGTGAGGCTGACCTTGAAACCGGAGGCAGGGGGTGTTGTGTTTCCAGAATGTGTCTGTAGCGTTGGGGTATCACGTGCCAGTCCGGTGGCATTTCACAGGAGAAGTGGGTGAGCGGATAGGTTTCCATTCTGGACCCACTTCAACCACCAGAAAGATTGGCCAGAAGTTAATGAGAAGTTTCTTTTTCCAACGTTCAAATCTATGTTTACTAGGGGAATTTCATGGCATGGGTGTAGCTAAGATGCAGCATCCCGTTTTGTCTTCCTCATTGCTGGCAGGTACTGGATGACCCCACCGAAGATCACTTATACATGGGTAAGCCGTTGTATTCTGTCTTTCTTCTGATATCCTGAAAAGGGAGGGAATAGAGTTTCTTATGCCCCCAAAAGGTTGCATTCCTTCTGGCTTGTCTTCAACCTTGAAAGGGGCGAAGGATCTCAAGATTTAAGAAGGGTTATAGATCTTGTTTGCAACCCTTGTTGGTGCATTGCTCTAAATCGGAGTTTTCAAGCTTGGCCATTTAAAGACAGGTGGACTTCTTCCCTATTGAGGAATCTTCAAAAAAAAAATACGTAAAGAGCACAAAATACTTATTATTTATTACACATATTGATTGCTGCCAGGTCCTCCTTTGCCCAATGTTGGAAACAGCCACATACACCCCAGAGGAGCTGGTTATACAAAAAGTTATGAATTGTGCTGAAATGGATAAATTAACGCTTGAGTTTAAAAGATAAGGAAGCTTGAATATTTTATAAGGTATGGAAACAATGGTATAGCTGGATAGATCGGAGACAGATTAAGGATAGGTAATTATTAAATATAGATAGAATTAGAATATAATTATGTGCAAATTAACACCTGTAAATATTGCACAAATGATTGTTATATGATAAGCACCACAAATAGCTATTATTGAGTGATATATTTTTGTTTTTAATGTAATGTAAAGTTTATTTTAAAAAAATAAAATAAAGACAGGTGGACTTCATTTCCCAAAATTCCTATGCTGGCTGGGGAATTCTGGGAAATGAAGTCCACCTGGGAGATGAAGTCCACCTTGAGAAGCACTGCTCTAAATACTACGGTGGATCTGGAGAAGCAAAAAGGCAAAACTCATCTGGAATTCCTGCTTGGAGGGTACCAAAATTGAAACCCAGATTGTTGCGTTAACCTTGGTTTGAAAGGACAGGCTGTTTGCGGCACCGCCTTCCTTTATCCAGCCTAGCCGAGGATTCTGCGTGGATAAAAGAAAAGCAGCATTCGACACTCTGCAGGGCAGCCTCTCCAACACGCTTCCTACATCGGGGCCCCGTTCCAGATGGAAGCAAGACAAAAATAAGTGGCAAACGGCCCTTCCGTATTTCCATCCCTCCTCATGCCATCTGGTGTTTGTTGCGTGTTGCTGTTTCCCTAATTAAATTTGATTTTGGAGCCCAACACAATTCTTGGCTCAGGCAGCCAGGTGTGTATTTATTCCCTCCGGCCGCTCCTGTATTAGAAGTCAGGAGGGATTTGAACCCCTTCCTATAGGCCCACCCTGCCTATCTACTCCTTCCCCAACGATTGACTTGCTGACCAACTTGTCATGACTTTTAAGTAGATCAACCAGGGGCTGAATAGATCATAAGAACCGTGCCAAAGGGTTTGATTGACCCAGTCAACTATCTGTGATATTTTTCTTATGTAAATGTTTCTCCTTATAATTAATGGCCTGCCTCTTTTTTTTCTCTTTTTTTTTGCATTTCAGTGTTCGAACTGGTGAAAAAAGGGTAAGATGATTATTGTTTTCATCATTTTAAACTAATAGTGTACATGTTGCATTATAGAATAAGGGGAGAAATGTGTGATGGCCCAAAGGGGCGTGGCACAAAAGCAACAAAGTCACAAAAGTAGGTAGAGTCCCTTTAATTTCTCCAACTTGGCCCCCCAATGTCCAGTTATCATCGGCTGGAGAAAAAACTCTCCCAAGAACAGTTTTTAAAGGGAAGAAATTCAGTCCGAACCCAAAGTACATATAAATTATCAATAAAAACCAACACAAACCACAACTGCAGCAATTAACGAGACAGGCCAGGATAAGGAATTGCAGACTTCAAAAGAGAATGACACACACACAGTTGGGAGGCTGCCAGAACCCAGATAAGACTTGACAAACAAAGATAATACACGTTTTGCTTCCAGCAAGGTGCTGTGCGCAAACAACCTTTATATCTTGTTTTCCCAGCTGCAGCTAATGAAGGGAATCAGGGCCTTTTTCTCCCCCATAACCCATGTTGCTCCCTTCTCCATTCCTCCCTGCGTGCCCTAGGATGAAGAGGGGGTGGGCCTGGGTCTTCCTCTGAATGCCCAGCTGGACTGTGCCCTTCCCCAGTTTCCTCCACAGCCACCGGAGCCACATTCCCACTCCCTATCAGCTGTTCAACCTCCCCCTCAGAATCAGATTCTAACAGGGACATGACAAAATGGTTGCCCTCAGCATTTTACTCCCTGTAGCAAGATTTTTCAATCTCTGTGACTTTAAGAACTGTGGACTTCCACTCCCAGAATTCCCTAACCATGGGGAATTCTGGGAACTGAAGTTTATACATCTTAATGGCTGGAGGATTCTAGGAGTTAAAATCCACACATTTTGTAGTTGCCGAGGTTGAAAAACACTGCCATGGATTTTCTCTTTTAAAAGCTCTTTATTTCCCTACGAGGACTACAATATGACTCACAATTTTTAGCAACAGCTGTCTCTGCTTGTTGGAGCCCTGAACTAACCACGTTTACTATGACTTGTAGAAACCACGACGGCCCACACTTTGCACCAGCCGTAAGGTGGTTTGTATATTTTTGGCTCGACGGGGTGAGCAAATCCATGCTTTACAATTGAATGCCATGCCAGCGTTGCCTGTTTAGCCAATTGTTTTGCTCCTGAGGAAATAAAAAACTGCAGGTACCAGGTGTTTATGGACTCAAGGAAAGGCTGCTACTCCCTAATTTAAAGTCTTGCTTCTCTTCCATCCAAACTGCCCCCCGATTCTGACGTTTATTTTTCCCTTTGCAGGCCAGTGATGGAAGTCCCCAACCTGAAACCTCTAAATGAAGACCAGGCACGATTCTATTTCCAAGACCTGATCAAAGGCATTGAATATTGTGAGTGTGTAGAAAAAAACCACACACACAGCTCAGCACCAAGCCAGACTTGAGTGTGGGAGCCTATTTTCTGTCCCAAGGCTGGGCTTTGGAAGATGGGAGGAGATGGCATCTTTTGAACCCACGAAGAGTAACCTTGTTCTGTGTAGCCTTTTGTTGTAATAAATAGGAACTGCTTGCTCCCTTGCAAACCAGACACCAGAAGAAGTTGAACATCTCACATGTAACGTTTCTCCACAGTACACTACCAAAAAATTATCCACCGGGATATTAAACCATCCAACCTTTTGGTGGGAGAGGACGGTCACATCAAAATTGCCGATTTTGGCGTGAGCAATGAATTCAAAGGATCGGACGCCCTCTTAACCAACACGGTGGGCACGCCAGCATTTATGGCCCCAGAAACGCTCTCTGAAACCAGAAAAATATTTTCAGGAAAGGTAAGCGGAGGGAAGGGCAAACAGCCTGCGTGTTCCCAACTTAGCGTGTTTTTCTAGCATTGGGTAGGCAACGAAAAGGTTTTTAGAACTGGATTATAAATCAAGATGACATGGTCTGCAAACCTGGCCTAAAACAAACCAACGTCAATCTGCGATTTTTGGCTGAGGGTGTTTTGTGTAAATCCTAACAATAGTTAAAGTTTGGTTAAAACAAACCTTAAAGTAGCACAATAGGTGAGCCTAGCCATGATTTAAGATGAGTCGGCGGCTTGGGGATTTGTGTCCGTGCCTCAACTATGAAGCTGTCTGATCTTAGGATCAACTTAAGGCAGATCTCTAAATCTTATGGCAGATCCCCTATCTCCCTGTAGAACTGGTTTTATAGGTCAGTATAATAATAATTTATGCCAGCCTTGGGAAGTGAGTGGAATAGAGACATTGCTGTATAAAGAGGCCAAATATCATCCAGTTCATAGTAGTATAAATGATGATAATGCAAAGAGCAAGCATTTTTAAAAGCTAATGTTCTCTCTCTCTCTCCCCCCCCTCCCCCATTTTCTCCTCCCCTTCTCTCCCCCTTTCTCCCTCTCTGTCTCTACCCCTCCCTCCCTCCCTTCCTTCCTTCTCCAAGGCTTTAGATGTCTGGGCAATGGGAATCACACTGTACTGTTTTGTCTTCGGACAGGTAATCAAACCTCATTTTCTATCTCTTCGCCAGTTTTTCCGTTGGTCTAATGCCAGGCCAAAGAAAGCATCCAGTTTACAGAATCCAAGCCTCTTAATAATGGAAATTAAGTCAGGCAGAAATGGGTGTCTCTCTCAATTGTGGTTTTCTCTATTTTCCCATTCCTTTGAGTTGCCCAATTCCTCTGCGAGGCTGAAATTCCTTTAGAAGAAAATGCGCTAAAACTCGAATGTGTTTCCGCGTACAATTCTGCAAGCAGGCAAGATTGCAGAACGTGTAGCTTTTAATCTAGTTTTGTTAACTCCATGAAAATACACTTCTTTTTTTTTTTAGTTTGTTGTGATTAATACGCCTTTTTTTTAATGGAGCAAGGCAGCTCCCTCACCACAACTGATCAATACACCCCAGGAATGTGGTGTTCAACCCTTTTGTAGGTGACCCAGTTGTGGCTCAGGTTGTCGTAGAACTGTTGTTGTCACACCCACGCAGTGCGATTCGAAGGGGAACCCAGCCCCTTTCTCCTCTATCCTTCCACAAACTGTGCCAGCCCATAATATCTCCCTGGGATATTCTTATCCTTCCCAGTGTCCTTTTATGGATGAGCGGATCCTCAGTCTGCACAGCAAAATCAAGAGCCAAACGCTGGAATTTCCGGACCAGTAAGTAAGAATCCTGCAACCTGCTGCAGAATCAAGGGGTGACCAAGGCGATCCCCGATTTGCAAAGGGCCCTTTGAACTCTGGAAAGGGCCCCTTCCACGCTCAACAGGGAGGAGGGGGGTGTATGGCTGGATCCCACGTTGAATAGATGCATTGATGCTTTTAGAGGCATTACAAATTCTCAGCACCACTGGGAGGAACTGTATCAGCTCTGATCCGGGAAGGAAGGCCGTGTTTCTGATCACAATCACAATTCAAGTTATTGACCCTGACCTCCTTTGAGGGGCAAGCAGAAATAAATTCATTCTCTCTCTCTCTCTCTCTCTCTCTCTCTCCCTC